GATCTTCCAACTTTTACGTGTGGCTTCGGTTGCTACTTGAGGATTTTCGTATCATCTTGAATGTTGTAGAATGCTTGTCGAGCAATTCTCCCTGAAGTCTTGAGATTGTCTAGCTGTAGCGTTCTCAATGAGACTTCACAAAGTGATTTTTTCCCAGACAAGTCCAGTACCAATTTCCCGACCACGAAGGGATGAGAAACTTGGTTAACCTGGAGCGAAATCGAACTAGCACCATACTCGTGATGACGGACAACACTACCTCTCTGCTCTCCGCCCCTGGTATGATCACTACCTGTGTAAAAAATTTTTGCTGTTGACTCATAGAGATTCGTGCACGACATATTCATATGTAATAAATTTCAAGCGAAATTCTTTAAAGCAGCGATTTTCTTTTCACGGTTGCCTAAATAATTTCGTTCAATTCTTCGTTCAATCGAATTTTTGTAGAGATTTCTCAATGCTGTCTGTTTACATTTTGTGACTAAAATTTAAGTTTCAAACTTTTTAACATAGCCGTTGAGAACAACATTCTACCAGATAATTCACAGCCGTTTTCTTTCACCTGTTTTTTTTCACTATACATGATCTGCTTCAACACCTGCTGTGTTCATTCCAGTAGTTGTTTGCATTTGATTTGATCCCTGGCATGCATCGTCCAGAAAGGTCATTGGATTTTTGCTTGTCGCTTCAGCTGCTACTTGAGAAATAATTTCTTGGTTTAGACATCCGTGCTACCGCGCTTCCAAATGTTTATCACGAGCATTAGCCGGTCTTTGTAAGCCGCAGCAAGCCCTTCCCATAAATGAGTTGTTCTTCACCGACCTAGGAAAGAGAGGATTCTTCTTGGTTAGTCTTTTCCGGAAACGGTCCACAGTAGTACTCGCACCGTAGCTACCACTATTCTTGAACTTCGTGCTGTTTTTGAAAGCTTTAAACTATATAACATCGCTGTAATATATAAACTCGAGCAGGTCTCATAGAAATCTGCACATTACTTACTTGACACTTAATACTTTAATGGTTCACCCTCACTGGTTGTGCGGGCCCCAGCATAATTTCCATATTTCGGTGATATGATGGTTAAGCCATTTTGGTTCCCTGGAATGTCGAGGTCAGCCTGGCCAAAGTCTGCTCCACGTCTTCACCACCGCAGGTAGTCGCAGCCGTTGTGGATCAGAGGGATATTTTCCACTATGCCACCTTGATGCCAAAACTGTGGTGAACCCTGGTATTGGTTTATTCTTAGCTGGGCTTTCTTATGGAATCGCCGGACTCCTCACCTTTGGATCCTTGCCAGGAGATGAATCTCCCGATGTACATCGCAGTCCGACACCCAGGAACACCTCCCATCCACAACGAGGCGGTGAACCATTCGGAGGAATCTACACATTTTCCCAAGATTATGTGTTCCGATAACTGTGTCGCGAAATTTTGGAAGCAATCTATTTTTTGAGCGCATTCCTGCCCTTGGTTCGGTTGGCCCAGCCTGCTTCTTAGAAGCAGCTAATGAAGTATGACAACTGTGGTAGACAGTTTTTAAAAGATTTGATGGCCATGCTGGCTGAGGCCGAGGTTCGGAGCAAGGTCCGCTCAAACTCTGTAGCTGTGTATGTGTGGTCGACCGTGTTCATGGAGGGGAAAAGAGATCAAGTCGTTGTTTTTGCCTTCCTAAAAAATTATGGAAGCAATCTGCGACAACGGCGGCATGTAGGGAGCATGGTTAACATGTTAGGCGTAGTCGAAGCAAAGACAACATCCGTGCTACAGAGTAGCTCTAACCCTTGCGCTAGACGCGCTTTCTCAAATGTTATTTAGTGATCCGCTTATTCCGTAGTTTACTGAGGTATTTTCTTCCACAAACCGTCTTCACATTTACTTCGTGGATTCCAGCACTTCTAGCTGGCAGTTTGTTTCCTGCCATCCATCATCTACGAGGATCCTCGGAGTTTTCGCATCTGGATTCGAGTGATGCTTAAGGATTTTGCGTTCGTCCTGAACCCTGTTGAATATTTGTCGAGCCTATACTCTTCGGAGTTCTGAGATAGCTGGGGTTGGAGCTCTGCCAACTAGATTGCAGAAAACGGTTTTTTCCCAGACAAGTCTAGTACCAATTTTCCGCCCCTGGATAGACTTGATGAGCACAACACCGTGTTGAACTAGCATCGTGCTCGTTATGAACGGCATCAACACCACTGCGCTGTTCCTTCCATTAATATGTTTACTATTTACTACGCAGCGTGACTGTACATGACATGAAGGCAAAATTCTTCATGTTATACCTTTTTATTTTCTGCCTACTATAATTTCGCGGCAGGGTACTAAGCGAAATACAACCACAACGTTGCTGAGATATTTGCAAAACTCTGGACCGCAGGTGTCTATGGTGGGGGACGAACGCGCTATTGTCCTTTCCGGGGAGCAACGCGTTCACCACCACACCATGCGGGTCCTTTGTTTCGCCTGTTTCTCAGCTATTTGTTTTCTATTAGTATTTCTATTATTTAGTATATTTTCTATTATTAATTTATATCTATTAGTACTCTGCCGCGAAATTATAGTAGGCAGAAAATAAAAAGGTATAACATTGTGATTTCAACTACAGCTGCTGCTTAACTGGGTTCTATGCCAATTTGGGCTCCCCAGATCAATCCCGCTGACGGGTGATTGCTGTGGCAAGACTGATAGAAATAGCTGAGAAACAGGCGAAACAATGGACCCGCATGGTGTGGTGGTGAACGCGTTACTCCCCGGAAAGGACAATAGCGCGTTCGTTCCCCACCATAGACACCTGCGGTCCAGAGTTCTGCAAATATCTCAGCAACGTTGTGGCAAAATTCTTCATTAATTTTGAGCTGGTCTAGTGTCACATAAGATAGGATACAATTGATTATCGACGGCCGCTAGAAATTAAGGACTTTGGTAAACTTCAGTAGGCTTTAGGTCAAGTAGGATTTCAATTTAGGGAGATAAATGTCTGTGGATCAACGTCAACCAGTTATCACCTTTTTTAGCAGGAGTGATTTTCGAAACCGCTAGACGTCCGTCGGTGATCGGCCAGGATCCAATGAGAAGTGCGAGTCTACCAAATTTGGAACATCGTGCTCGCATCGATGAAGGTGTCGTTATCTATGAGTACGATGTGGGTTACGGAAAAGGTACCAGAAATTTTTCTTTATTTTTAGTGCAGTTCTGTGTGGATGTGTTTAAAACAAAGCTAAATCGTTAACTCTTGCACAGTGCTTGCGAAAACAAATGACCTTCGGAAATACGAAAGAACTATAGAAGAATCGAAATCTTTTGCATATTTCCTTCTATGCCGTTATCATTTCCTAAATCAGAGTCGATATCGTCACCAAATAAGATCGCGCCGAACATGTGGAATGAGGTGCTGCTTAGGAATGATGAGAATAAAGGTGAATCGAGGGCTAAAAATGTTGTCTACAGTGGCATTGTGACACTGGCGTCCTTTAGCTTCGTTGCAACTGAACTCTGGCCCCATCGCTGAAAAGACTCATGGACCTCTATTATGGCAAGAAGGCGCCAATGGGCCATTAATTCTCGGTGGACATGCGGAACTAAACGATCGTGAACGAACACACGATGGCTTCAAGGGTATTGAGTTTTTTACCTACAATATTTCATTCAAGGTGTTAATTGTCATAGCTCCTTTTGAACAATATGAGCACATCAAATCTTATCATTAGGCGCTATCCTTGAGTACTAATCACTATGTTATTTAAAAAGCTTTCCGTTATAGACAGTTTTTATCTATTACTACGGCAAATCAATTAAAATGAAAAATTCCAATATGTCGCCCTACTACTCCTGGCCTATAAATCAATAACCATTTTTATAAAAAGGAAAATCTGTTCACTGAAAATGGGTATAGGATCGAAAAATTTGGAGTAGAAGATCAAAAGGGAATGAAAGCCATCTTTTTGGGCTTTCGTCTACACCACACCTCTTTCATGGATTTTCATTTTTTTAGAAGAAAGAAGACCATAGTTGTTCTCTCTGCGGTGCGGCTAAGGGCGTGATTCTTACAACAATCAAGTCAAAATTCTGCATTCCACCAAAAGAGCTCCTCAGCGAAACTTCTTCTGAAATTCTACCGCAAGTGCTTACCTATAATGTTTACCTCGAGTGGTTCAGGGTATTGAAACTTATAATATCTTCGTTATCCAACATTATAAACATTGCTACGCAAACATAGACGGTTCGACTAAGCACAATTCTGCCCAGGACTTCTGTTAATTTCTAGTGCATTTTAATAGTCAGCGGATGTCTCACCTAGCAAATTTTGGTTTTTTTCTACAAGCTATCAGTTAATTTAGGTGTTATTAGTTCGATGGCTGTTTCCGGAGAGCCAGTAAACCTCGGTCGGGCGGAACGACCATTCCACATGCGTTCCTACAACGCCTGTGCTCACCACTTATGCCAGCACTCGTCGCGCTGCCGAATCTCCAACACACTTAAGGTGCTCACCTATCGTATTTCTTTATCCATCACCTTTTATTTAATCGGAATTATTATTATTTAAATAATTTGGCGTTTAAATTTTGGCGTTTATGACTTCATTCTCTAAATGTTGGCGAGATTTTAAAAAAATTGCTCACAGTTCAAGAATTTAATTCAAGAAGAAAGTCGTTCCGGAATCAAAACCGAGGGAAGGAAAATAGTTGGCAGCTTTCTGGAATTTCTCTCCTTTTATGCATTCCTAGGTCCTTCTTGATCAATATCAAGGAGCGGTACATTAACAGTTGCTTGTCTGCTGTGGTTATTTAAATGAGCCTTCGAGCGCGATGTTGAAAAATTTCATGGTAGTTTGGAGTACTGGCCACCCTTAACAAAATCTACTGGTAATAACCTTGTGAAATTCCCTCAGTTAGCTTACAACATCCTCATAAAATAAAGAATATTTGGAAATGTGGGCTATTCTTGACAATAGCTTAGTTTATAGAAACTGCGTAGAAAACCTGTGAAAACCGAAGTTTAGGGATATGAATGCGAATGTCCCGAGGAATATACCGGCATGTATTGTCAACTACGATCTGCATTTTGCAAAGGCGGTAATTCTTTGCAAATGTTTATTTCAGTGCATTATGACGCAGGATGACTAGTGCATCGGGATAATTTCTACATTCAGAAAATTGCAACTCCGGCATTTGTGTGGAGTCAGGTAGCGCGTGGCGGTGTGTCTGTCCTTTGAATGCCACCGGACTCAGGTACGTAGAAACTCATTGTACAGAACCATGATATTACCGTAATCCACTTTTACAAACGTTGCGGCAATCATTCATGTGGCCATTGAAATGGATTAGATTGTTTTGCTTTATGGATTGCTCCATTTTTCCCTGCTGAAGTTTTCGGCCATCATGAAAAATGAATGTTTATTTGTTTCGAAAAATTTTGATTCATCTATCGCAGTTTTAAACCTATCGCACACCTAATGACTTTAATTTCATTTTATAATAGAACCACCGAAAATTCTTTCCTCTTCAATTTTCAGGTGTGAGCTTGGTGTAGATGTTAAGCCATCTCCACTTGGTTTCAATAAAAACACTTCTTTTGTGGCAATATCGAGACCAAATAATCTAGATGAGTTTGAGGTAACCATTTATTGCTTAATAGTGTACTGATAGACTAACAGCATACCAACCGCAACGATGCTGAGATATTGGCAAGACTTGGACCGTAGGCCAGACCGAACCACGATTTTCCTTTCCGGAGGCTCGCGTATTACACACTGCGCCACGCAGGGTTCAGTGCCGATGTGGGCTCCCAGATCAATCCCGTTGATGGATGATTGCTGATGGCAGATAGAGATAGAGATAGATAGAGATAGAGATAGAGAACTAGCTGAGAGAAACGCAAAGGAACGGCCTCTGTGGCGCAGCATACAATGCGCAATCCCCGGAATGGAAATCCTGGTTCGATCTTGCCTGGGTCTAAGTGTTGTGAATATCTCAGCATCACTGTGGCTGATTTCGCATAATACCTTGTGAAAATTATAGTACGCGATAAATAAAAGAGTAAACATTGTGATAGACCATCGTCACTTTACATAAAGACTTCTTCACTCCGGAATTAAACCCGATTCTAGGTCGCTCTTAAATTGAAGCCCGATGATGTTAGCGAGGAACACATGCTTCTATACATGGCTTCAGATTACAACCCAAACTCAAAGAAGTATCTCGTTGTGTCCATTATCGACGGCAGAATTGTCTACTCGTACAGTAACGGTAAAGCTCTTTGAGTTGGCGTTTCCCACTCTTTTCGTATTTTGCTTTTTTGGTTTTGTTACTTACATTCTTTAAGAGAGTCGTGTATTAAAAGCAAATAATGAGCGGCTGAGAACTCATTCAAATGCTTTTTTTCTGTATTTGATTGTTCGCAATCTCACAAACCCCGACAAGAGCGGAGGTCACTGACCACATCCAACATGTTCAATGAACTACACCATACACCTAGTAGTTTTTCATGTATTTTCAGTTAAATGTTCATATTTTTCCGTTTTTGTGGCGAACTGCCTATTGCGCAGTAGTTCTTTCTACGTGGCCTTCGTCTTAACCGAATTTTCTCTTTTGAAAGTGATTGGATACATTGGAAACAGATTTAACTATCGAATCAATATCAGTCAATTTTTTCCTACACGATCCATCGTCACGTCAAGTCTTCGGTACCCAACAGTTCTTACATTCGATTCGTTCTCCTGCTCCATCGTAAACTTCGACCTTTCCGCGAGTGGGTTCAATTTCTGCTTGAGGATTGACGTCTTCTTTATGAATGTCGTTGGTTGCTGGTCGAGTCCTTGGAGTTTGGGATAGCTAAGCTAAAGCGTTCCCACTTGCATTTCATGGAGTGTTAACTGTTTTCAGCCTAATCTAGCACCAATTTCCCTATTCTGAAAGGATTGGAAAGCTTGAACATTAACTTTTTTAGGTCAGGAACACCGGGAAGAGCTTCATAGTTCACCAATTGTAGCCGGTGTTGAGTATACTGTAGTGCTGAACCATACTGCTTCTACAGCAACCCTGCTCGTCAACGAGGGAGAGTTTAAACACCAGGTATAAATCATTGGCGATTTGCACTTTCTTCGAGGCCCTGCGGCTATTCTATGAGGGCTACTTTATTACATTGCTCGGAAATGTGACAAAGTGGTGAGAAAGTGAACATGATAGTACATCTCACAGTGAAACAATATAATAAAGTTGCTCTTCGTTATATAGTCTGAATTGCCTAAACGTTTCGTTGGAAGAAGTCTTCAAAAAACCAAAACTATCCCGCATATAATAGATCATTCTGGTGAATATTCAGAGGCAACTGAAGTCCTTTGAGTTGGGTACGGATCTTTTTATTGGTGGTCTACCACCAGGACTCCTCATTCCATCTGATTTTCCAACCACTTCGTTCAAAGGGTGTCTCACTGAGGTTATTACTGTTGCGACATCATTTAAGACATCATATAGAATTCTAAGTAGTGAATTAATTTTGACTTAGATAAAAATTAGTGGAAGACAGCTAAACCTAAATGATTCGTCGCTGTTCTCTTCCGGAGACATCTCTGAGTGCTCGATTTCCACTCCTTCAATATCATTATTGACAAGTACGGAAGGTTAGTGCTAATTTTTTCCAACTCTTTGCCACCTAATAATTCTACCTCTCTTTTCAGAACCAACTACTGTAACAACACCCACTACAGAGGAATTCGAGTATATCTACGAAACAGAAAAGGATTTAGAAGCTCCTGAGCCAGTTTTACCAACTGAGGACGAAAGTGGGAAGGGAAAAGGTAGAATATGGAGCTTGGTAACTGATTCTACTTTTTTAGTTCACGGTGGTTAAAAATTCACCAAAACTCCCAGCAGAAGGAGCCAGAGTACCATATATGAAGTTTTATTAACGAGAGAAAAAGATTTGAGACATTACTACGAAATTTAGATAAAGCGGAAGAAGCCACCATTACAGAAACTACTACACAATTTAAAGAATTGCCTACTGCGGAAGAAACACCAGCGTATCAACTTTCTACCGATGCACCATGTTCTGGTGATGAACCAGGTGCTACGTTCCAATGAAATCCTACTGAATAAGCGTCAAAGTGAACTTTTAGATGAAGCTTGTAATATAACGATTTGTGCAAACGATGTATGCGGACCATATGGGAAGTGCGTCCCATTCAATACTACGTATTATGAGTGCCAGTGTAAGCTCTACTATGATGGACCACGTTGCGATGTGTGTAAGTTCTATCCTATCACTTACAGTCACATTTCCCACTTTCTCAGTAAACTTTAAGTTCTGCTTTAAATTTTAGGAGATGATTTTAGGAGACAACCAATAAGAGATGTTACACTAATATTTATTCCGTTAAGGCTGAGGTTTCGACAGTATCGCTTGTATTACGAGGTTTATAGAATTGCGGGGTTAATAGAAAGTCGGTCGTGGAAACTATCAATAAGCTTTTAGTACCTTGGTTTAGAGAGTAGAAGGGCACACCTCTCATCGAAAAAGAAAGAAAGAACATTGGACTAGAAAGGAAAATCTATCAACTGGTACAACGTAACTGTTCCCATTTCCTTTTTTAAGAGCGAAGATCATCGCTATCATTTTGGAAGGATAAAAAGGATAAGGAAAAGCATATCTGACCTTTAAAATGACTAGCAGTGGCCTACCGATGTATCAAGCCAGTGCTGCTATCCTCTCAGACAAGTCTGGTACCAATTTGCCGACTTCGGAGAAACGGAAGGCTTGGTGGGCTGCTAGCACGGGGATCAATTCCTTGCATGTGTTGCAGGAAGCTACCAGCCACTACGCCACATGTGTCCATTTTCGAAGAACCAACTTAAATTCACCTCTACATTAATCATTATTTGGTTCTGCTCTCGATAACTGGTGCAGAGCTATTAAGTGGAGCTAGTTCAAAACGGCTAACATTCCACAAAGGTTCGCCGTTTTTAGAGCCTGAGATTGAACATGTTACAATTAGTCTATTTGTAGAAACAATTTCATAATCTCTAATGGAGGTTGGAAAAATTTAAACTTCCCATCTGCTTAATCTCTTATGCAACGTAACCGCTGTGAAGCGTTACCGTATTTGAAATTGGAGCGAGGAGTCTACCACTTTTACTCGAGAGTAACTAAGTAAAATGTTATAGATAGTTTTTATAAAAGATGCTTCAAGTCTACGCCCCAATATTCTCAACTCCCGACACATATGATCAAAACGTCAAATCCTTCAACTTTCCGTAGAGTTCAACAGTTTTAACATAAGCTCAATGGGGCTGGTATTTTAATTCAAAAAACCAACGTTCCCTTAACTTCGGTATGATTGAGTAACATGTGTTTAAATTTTTGAGCGTACACGAGGATGTTCTACAACTTCTATCCAACCAACGTTTCGACGTCATCGTCTTCATCAGAGCCGATGATCCGACTTTTTCAACCACTTTTCATGTATTTTCCAACTGTGGGCCATCGACTCGGATAATCGACCTTGATGATAATGAATACGTCGAAACACTAGCCGAATAAAAGTTGTATAGCAACCTTGGGTTGTTATTTCGTTAAAAACATTGGCAGAAATTCAGAATCAACAACTACTTTTCTGTTAAGTCAAACCAATCGAAAGAGCCGCACAATTTGATGGTACCGCTTTCCTCGAAATATCATCAGACGAGTTTCCGCATCTAACATCAGAAAAAGACGAAGTGGTTGAATTGAAATTCAAAACAAAGGAACCTAACGGAGTAAGATCTTTGACTCTTAGGAAACAATAGGGCATTTAAGAAAATATGTGTATAGAACACCGAGGACTCTATGAACACTGTTTTTAGGTGCTCTTTTGGCAAGGACAACAACCTGGAACATCGGTTGTTGGCGAAGATTACTTCTCGGTTGGATTACATGATGGACTTCTTCATTTCTCGTCGGTGCAATTTTATAAAGAAACGTTCCCAAAAAGGAAAAAAAGCAAGATAATAAGATTTTCAGTTACGAGCTAGGTGGTGGAGCTGCTCACATGGTATCTGACCAAAGAGTGGATGACGACAAAATGCACTATATACGACTAGAAAGGTCCTACAATTTACAGGCTCTTTTTCATCTTTTCACTTCATTTAAAACTAATTAGCGTGCATGTAATGCAGTGCATAGATTGGCTCTGCAAACACATGTGGTCATCGGTTTGATTCTACAGAAAGGGCTAGCCATGCCGGCATTTTTCTGGAGTAGACAAACTGGTATCAAGTTTTTCTGGGAGAATAGGATCACTAAGTTGGCACATTGCTAGGTCACTAAAAGTCATTGGAAAGGCCAACGATGTATTCTCTTCTCGCCTGTACGAATCTTTCTTTAGCCATAACGGACACACGCCGTTTAGCGCGTCTTTCCGAATGGTATATAAGCACTACGAGAACATGAGAAAAAAAATTTTCTCGATAGATAGAGTACTTTAGCGAAAGTGAGTAGGAGAGAACTGTAGAAGAAACTTAGCTCCATCGTTACATGGATATTATGGAGATCAATGAATGAGGTATTTGCTACTATTTACTGTGTGTTACCATGGTCCATTGTGCATATCCATTGTTATCAGCACTTAGAAGTAGTTTGCACCCCATGACGAGTCTATTTTGATGTTTTTGTATCCACAAATTTTATACAGTGATCGCAATGATTAAAATTAAATAACAGTTAATAACTATTCAAATTACCGATCAACGAACTTTTGGAAAAAAAAGTCTTTTTAAATCCTTAAGGGTAGAGGATGGTTTTTCTGGTATCAGCTCTATAATTCTAAAACGCATTCGATTAGCTTTCGAAAGAGTGTGCATGGCGGAGTAAAAAATTTCGGAACGCAGTAATCAAGAAATGGACACTGTAGTATCTATAGAGCGCATTATGGGTTAATCAAGTCGAATGGATGCAGCCTCCCTCAGTAATTGATCAATAGTCAAACCACTAGCTTAATTACCCAAGTTTAAAGCTCTGAGAAAGGCGAAATCGCCGAAACATCAGCCATCGACCAACAAAGACAACAGCAACAACAAGAACAACGACAACGACAACTTGTAGTAATCTCACATTACCTCAACAAGATCGATCCATAAGAGCAGATAAACAAACATAAAATTTAAGTGTGCCTATAAATCATGCCTACATTTGCATTATGCAGGCAGGGTCGCCGAGGAATTTTAAAAATAGACAATAAGGATGAGAAACGCGGATTAAGCAGCGGTATCCTTGCAATGTTAAACGCAGATGGAAATGTATTCATAGGTAAGTGCTAGACTACCATATTTGTCAGTGCGGACAGATGATAATATTGTTCATGCAATTTTTTCTCTAAGGAATCGATTCAGGAGGTGTGCCTGACGTCCAAAGAGCTACGGGCGGCCTACATCACAAAAATTTTGTGGGATGTGTAGCAGATGTGGCGCTAAATGGTGAAATCCTTGATCTTATGGGAAACGCCATAGATGGAAAGAATGTCAAACCATGCGATGGTTGGATTGCTCCCAGAAAGCTTTTCAAAAGGCGAAGGTAATAAATATTGCAAAGGAAGCATGCCTAGTTCGAGTAATAAACCGCCACAAGTATTCGTATTTCTTACGAGTTTCTCTTGAGTGACATTCTACCCAGGTCTTACATTGTCAATCAGACACTTTATAACCATTTAAAATTTTATAGCGTGCTAATCAAAATTCACTGACTAGTAAACTCATACAACTAGTTTCTTTTAAAGAAGAGGTTTTTTTAAACAGCAGTAAAAACATAGTGGTTATTTACTTTTCCACTTCCTTATCCCGGACTGTTCGCCTTATCGGTTTCAATTCTTGAGTAAGGGATAGGTAGATCTACGCGTTAAAAATTTTTTTAAAAATGAAAAGGATGAGTTTAATGTCCTAAATAAGCCATAAGAATCCACTCTTCGTTAACATTTACGTTATAGCACGTTTTTAAAAAGGAAAACAAAATAAATTCCAACATTATAGAAATAACCGAATTTGGACGAATCTATGAACTGCCAACGCTAAGATATGAGCCCGATGCTTCCCCTCTGTTCATGCTGCCAGTCAAGATCTTATTTATAGTTTTTCAATTGCCTGTTTTATCGAGTATAATACTTCATTTTGTAACACTTACATTTCACAGATAATTCAGTGTCATCCACTTATTCACTGCTCAAATCAGATCATTTGGTGTCGAGTGATCCAGATCGAAAAACTCCTCGTTGTCCCGCTCATCATGAAAAAATCTTACTGTCAGCATGTAGTTTGAAAACACAGGTTTCTGAAATTCGATAGTCTTCAACAACATGCAAATTTCCGGCATCACGAGAATTATAATGTTGCAATAAATATTCTAAAATCCATGTCGTTTGCAGATTAACAGAAGAGCTGTTTACAACGGTCCTTGTAAAATCACAGTAGAAATTACCGTTCTTTGGCCAAAATAAAAGAGGATAGATAAGAAGCGAAAGACAAAGAAAAAAGGAAGGACGAAAACTTTTCTCATTTAAAGATTTACAGTATAATGTTGAAATAAAAGGTCTAGCACATTTGCTTACCTGGATTCTTTAATGGTTAGGTGACCGTATCAGTCATATACGACTTGTAAACGGAGGAGATCTCAAAACGGATCGCATGAGTAGCACCTAACTAACCTTAAAGTTGTTCCTCTTTCTGAACAAACTCCTTTCAGCTATATCTTTCCTAACAGATCGATGCGTAAAATTGTTAGCCCTTTTTCTATGAAAATGCTATTCCCGGTTTGATTCAAGAAAGCTGTTTTGTAGGCTTCATAGTTTGCAAAAAACCATATTTCGGTGTTTTTTCATCTCGCGAGGAGAATTTTGCTAATGACTGACGTACTACGATATCTCCGCTTTACTTGCACATCAACATTCTGACAACATTCTGAAACGTGCTCACAGTGATTTTTATTAGGATGCCTTCTCAAAGAATGTCTTTGTAAACATTCCAGGCTTTCAAGAATTTTTTTTCAAAACTGTTATAAAAAACGCTCTGCAATATCTTTACATAATTTAAAGGAGGGTAGGTAGAGTGGCGGTTGTGACGTCAACCATTTCGTGGACGGTGTAGGTTCGAGTCCGCCCTGGATTCACCAATCGTCTCATCATTTCGGGGTCTCGGATTTGATACCAAACTTGTCTTGGATTAACTCACTTCTAATCTACTTGGGAACGCTACCGCACTGCTATCTCCGAATTCCAGAGAGAATCGAACACACCAATATTGAACGACATTCGTAGCTGTGAAGATTTTCAAGCAACAGGCGAACCCACGCATAAAAGTTGGAATACCTTCATGGTGGATGGATGCGAGGAAATTAATCGAGTAGAAGAAGTGCTGAAATTCGCACGGAACATGTAAAGACTGGTTATCTAAAATAAGAAAAGCTTTTGCTCTTCAAAACTCTCACCAATTGCAATTCACTCTTTTATAGCACAGTACTGAAACATTCCAAAAATAGCTACTCCCCTCATTGACTGCATCTAGTGCTGACCCGTTTGGTACCATGGTAGCAGATTTTAAGACTTGAAATCATGTTAGTTTCTTAAAACCGTCGACATACTGTCTCTTTTCCCTTGGTATTCAACCGTTCCCTTCAGAATATGGTAGGTTGAGCCCGTAGGAGAAAATATTCGTGCTAACTGTTCTGATACAGAGATTGTTTGACGCCACGTGGGTGTCACTGTCTAGAAAGAAACTTCCCTGGTTGTAGAACTCGAAGAATTGTAGCCATGCGGCAATGGGTGCTTCATTTCTGGTGGAAATATTATTTCTATAATGTGTGTTTTACCCTTAGCTTCCCACTACTCGTGCTGGGCCAAGAATTGTCTTCCCTGAGACTTCTACTGGTTGATCCGCCTGGAGATTCTTTTCATGCTCTTCCTATACGTGCCGGTCAAGTCTCTTTTTATCTTAACAACGCTCTGTCATCAAAAAACTTCTCTATAAAGATGTATTCCTCAGTCCAGAGCTCTCCCTTGAGCTTCATTGCTATCTAGTCCGTCATTTCAACTTATGTGCAGGTCTTCTCCATCAATATTCTTTTGAGGCACAATTTGATAACCTTTATTCGAGTATGTGCGTTTAATATGGAATCTATTAGAATAGGACAACTTTTGCTATAAACTACACTAAGGGACATCAAACAAATGCTCTTACTGGGTTTACGGACCCTTGTAAAATTTATCAATAATTTAAGAAAATGAACTAATCAGGTACAACTTGTCTTGTCCATTATAAATTGCATTGTACCACAAATGGAAGTGAGTCCATAACTTGTTAGATGACGTTGCTGAACTCTGGAAAAGCTGCAGTATCCCCTTATACTACCCGTGCAAAAATTCCGGTCTCAAACAGAATGCGACGATTTTTTCTCTTTTTAACAACTGTCAGCTCCAACATCATTATCGACGATCTAGGGGTCATGAAGTACTGAACTGTTTGAGTACCTACCGCTAATCTCACCCCTCGCAACAAACTGTCTACGAGTCCCATAATATGAGTTTTATGCTTTTGTAAAGAAAAGGAGAAGAAGAAGCAATAATTTGATAGAAAAGATATAATAAACTCGCTACCAACGCCAAAATCGAATTAACAAAAGCGAGGACAATTGGATCCAAAATGAAGTATACATCCAACATTGGAGAGAAATGATGAAGACAAATGAAGAAAAAGAGCTCATGGGAGATCCAAAGAAATCCTATTTCACACAACCGGATTCAGAGATACTCTTCAAACAACTTTTTAAAAAGTTTCATGCTTTTGGTTCTCGAAAAGAAAATCGGAAATGGTTCTAAGCCTTGTAAGTGTTCCCGAAAATACAGCATTTTCACAAAATCTTATTTGCAGTCATTTCCTTACTCTCCATTAGTTTATACGGCAAAAATAAAGACTTTTGTAGATGAGTTAGCATACAGTTGTGATGAAATTAAATAACCACAGATTGGTAGTCTCCAACTAACGAAGTTATGAGGACGTAAAAAAAAAGTTTGAGGAAATATGAGAATTCTTTGCACGCCAGAACGGTTTACAACGGGACCCAGCAGTTCTTTATTATCGAGCCTCTACTTGCTCAGAAAGCTATGTCATACTCCTGAAGGATAGAGCGCACGGTGTCGATCAGTCTCTGGGATGAGCCATGCGTCGTAGACATTACTGAAGTGGCCTGGCCTATACAATGACGCGCGGTGACCTGCCGATGTATGCAGCCGGTGCTGCTATCCTCCCAGACAGATCTGGTAACAATTTTCTGACTCCGGAAGCATGAAAGGCTTGGCGAACTTGGAGCGTGGAATAGAACCAGCGATCACTCTAACCATTGCAATGCTTGTACCCTTACCACAACCCCTTACTTACGATCGGTTACATATGATGAAGCCTTGTAAAGGAAAGAAACAGTCGAGGCGACATGTTTAACCGAATGGACATTTCCAAGAAATGGGTGCGTTTTCGTGGAAGCGGGACGAGTGCTAACTCACATCGTGGCGCGTCAATTTGCTTTGAAATATGTTAGGTGTGCAATCATTCACAGAAATCCAGCAAATCTATGAGATGGATTTTTTCAATCGGAAGTAGGGTTTTTATGAGCTACTTAGGCGCGTGTGGCGCAGTGGTCGGAGGCGCGCCCATGGCCCACCAAGCTTTCCATTACTCCGTGGTCGGCAAATTGGGACTAAACTTGTCTGGGAGGGTAGCTGCACTGATTACATAGATCGGTAGGCAATCTCGAGTCATTGTAAAGGCCAGAGATTCAATCATCTTTAACGATGCCTAATGAAGTCGAATGCATGGTGCATCCCTCAAGGATTGATCAACGCCGGGCTCAAACCCCGTATTTGGAAATAAGGGCGATTTAACAAGTGGAAATCCATCCTTTAGATTTGCAGCCATCCTTTTCCGTTGGAAGTTTTAGAACTTTAAATTACTTCCTTAAGTTTTTGAAAACTTTAATTCTAAACATTTTTAAAGGTAAATGCACAAAACGTAAAAACTATTCATGTGATTAAGGCAATATACCAAAGTCTCCGTTATAAAACGTTGTGGCTTACTTCACAAATACTCAAATAATCGAAAAACGACTGCCTTTTGACTAAAACTCCAACTACAGCGCTCCAATGCAGATCCTCGTCTCACGGCCAATAGTGCGCATAATGCGCGAGCAGTCTCCACGCCGCCGACGACGTCGATCCCGCTCGCGCTCACATTTGCTAGGTTTCCTTGGCGTTCTGGTCCAGTACCAAGACCACTGGATCACTATTTCTGAGCACGTGTGGATTTTGTTGGGCGTTAAACCTACTGCTCTTTCTCTTGAACGATCCGATCTCTCTGGTTGAGCTGAACACTGCTTCCATCAGGGCATTCACATGAGATTGTCTGTTTCGTTCATTTCTGTAGATGTTCGCGTAGAATTCGTTTTAGGTGGACCTATAGACAAGAGATTCTGGACTTCTGCAATGGGCGACAGATGGAACCATCAACATAACCGAGGACATCCGTACAATGGTGGGTAGCT